GAAAGAGCGGACACATGCATGTGACATTACGTAAGAAGTCTCATGCGACGAATAGTAAATTCATTTCGATTATAGCAACGCGACTTCCTTCCTCTTTGTTTTTGTCGCTCGGAGAATATACTATGTTCGTCTTCCTGTCTTCGTATTTCGCGATTATCATATGCATATCATTTTTCATCATTCTCGAGTTTTCGATCTTACTCGTTTTACTAATTAATAATCACCGAATTGTCATATATATATTTATTCGATTATTAAATTCATTTATCATCATTAATTAATTAATATTAAATTGCATTGGATTACAATCTATCTATTATTGTGCTAGATATTAATACAGATTTTACATGTCAAATTGTAAGTTATGAGTTACATTGCAAAAATAGCTTGTATTTCACTTGTATTGTTGTCCAATACAACATCGATTTTAATGTAAATCACTTTTTCCTTTGTGCTAGAATCCAATTGATAGATGGCAGATACTGTTCTGGATCGGTGCTGGAGTGTGCATCGGAAGTATGGTCGTATTCCTGTTCGGAGGTAAGGGTGACATACAGAGCTGGAATGAGTATCGACCTCTCGACAGACCGCAGACTGATATAGAAGCTAGACAAATTAATCCGGAGCCTAGCGACGATGTAGCGCGAACTTAATATATGTTCCTAATAAATCCAAAATTTTCATTTTAATAACGACACGTCATAAACACGACGCGAGAAAGATGTTTAATTATCGACAATAATAATTTGAATGAAACAAAAGTTTAAAAAACGTCCAAAAAAGATTACAAAATTAGAACGTTTTTAAAAAAGGTTTGAAAAAATAACTGAAAGATATCTGAAAGATCAAGATATTTAAAAATAAAACTAGAAATTTAAGAGGCGAAATTTAAAAAATTAGAATGTTTAGAAAACGTATGATAAAATTATATTATTCCTTAGTGTTGCGTAGCTTTGTTCATTATTTATCGATTTTCACATTAATTGTTTTATTAAATTTCTTTCATGTATTTATATCTTGATATATGGTTGAATAAAGAAATATTGTTTTTCTACCTCATTATCCTTTCAGTCAACTGACATACATATCGACTGTTCTACTCTATATATACGTAAGTATCGATAACAAAATAAAAAAAAAACGCATAAATAGTGTAATAATAAAATGTAATTATTTTTACTCAAATTTATAATTATTCTAAGCAAATTTTGTTGCAAACTCTGTTTTAGCTAAATTAACAATTTTCTTGTCCATGATATCAGCCAACAATTATAAATCTCTAAAACATTTTTCAAAGGATCTTTTACGATAAGTTTCCGAGATACGATATTGTTAGTTACTTTTATATATAATTATTCTCCGGATTAGCGATAGAGCAGCATCCTTCGCGCGCATGGCATTCCGACAAGGCTGGCATATTCCTCTATTTTGCGTTTCTCTTCCCGTGTTGTTTGACATGTTTTTTGTTGTTCCCTGTATCTCTTATATGGCATCGCAATACGCTTGTATAAAATCAGTACCTAAAAAGATGTTTCTACGATAAAATAACAAAAATTTTAACACACAATACCAAAATTTAAAAAATTTTACAACACCTAGAAAATTTTAATTTTATATTTTAACCAAATTTATCACACAAAAATTACATGATTGCATTACCAAATTTATCACACAAAAATTACATGATTACATTAACAAAAAAAAATCGTAACAAATTTTTGCATTATTTCTTAAAAAAATATACCTCTCGAATATCGATTATACCGTCCTCATCAATCGCGTTCGAATCGTCATTCAAACGACTGTATTTTTCATTGTCCAATTTAATTAAACAGGGCTCTACGTCGCACCACACATATGTTTGTGGACATAGAAGTTTCGATGGTCGCATTTTGGCCTTATATCGCATTTTCGGACATGTATGAATGTAAAAGCCCATATAATAGTATTTCAGGTCACTCGCGACTTTGTTAAACTGTCTCGTTAGATAAACTTCTCGCAGAGAACTGGAAATAATAAATACATTATTCAGAGTTGTAGCTATCCGTGAATTTAATCGTACCATAAAAATTTAAATATTTGTTTAAAAAAGAATAAATTTTGATTTCAATTAAGGACCTAAATACAAACCTAAAAGTTCCTAAAGAGAGTTGACTATATGCCGGATCGTAAAAAAAGTACACGCTCGAGACGCACGACGGCAAAATGTCTATCACTCCGACTGCTATTAATTCATTATCTAACCAATATTGCTCATGAAAAGAGCCATATCCTTGAGGTGGTCCATTATTGGGTGTCCATTGCTTTAAAAGATTATTTTATTATTTTAGGTTTATTTAGGCATTTTACTTCATTTTTATGATAATTATTAAAAACTAATAATAAAGATTATTGATTTAACGATTATAAAAAATTATAGACTCTGCGCTTTCGTAAAATGAAAACAATACATATATGTATGATAGTATTACAAATAAATAAGTATCCTTGTTGATTATAATGCATAAAAGAATCTCAAGGCAATTTTTCTATTATTTGAGATTAGAACCAAAGTGTACCTGCAAGGGACTTTTTACAAGAAAGTTAAAGAATGACTTTTGATTGCATTCCTCCGGAGTATCATTGTGAATCACCATTTGATATCTTTTATAAAGATTTGCGCTCGCATCAAAGGTACTAAGGAACTCGTCTGACATCACTCTCACCAATTTCATCTAGACATTTGTAGGTGTAAAATTTATGTAACATTTAGTTAATAAATAAAGTTGTGTCTGATATGAAAATTACTATTATGGTCGTTGACCAGCAATGATGTAATCAAATGTTTCTTGATTGTTTAAAAAGAAAGGTCCACTTTGCTCCAATTATGTATAGACCATAGTTGCCTATAGTGCTTGTTTGATCGTCGTAAGACTGCCAGCATAGCTTCTTATTAGTGTATCAAAATGTATAATTTTGGAAGAGTTACTTAAGAAGACTGTTGATTATAATAGAAAATAAAAAAAAAAAATTGAATCAAAAGCGCATAGTCATCTATTATGGTTTCTTACAATGCTTATTTACAGATAATATAATTAATTTCAAATCAAATCTATGATTTCTATTTTTTCCGATATATAATTTAGACAGTTCTGCATTAAGACATCTGCCGTAATCTGCCGCGTCTTATATTTCTGAAATTAGTATACGCTTGAATTAGAGTCTCGTCTTAAAGCAGTTTCTGTCTAAGATTGAGACACCTTATACGAAATCGTATAAGATTACCTGTAAAGGTGACTTCACGAGAAATCTCGTATATTGTTGTTCTGTGATCTTTTCAGCTTGGTCTCCATGTATCGTCATCTGATACTTTTTATAAACTTCGTAAGACTTTTTCGAGGTCTTTAGGTATTCAGGACTCATCGGCGCAGTTCGAACTAATCTCAGCTTACAAAAATCATCAATTTAATATAAATCTCTCAAAAGGCAATATTTATCGCAATGAAAAATACAATTCGTTGCGACCAGTTTATAATCAAATTAAAAGATCATAAAAATTGAAGTGATGATAAAATAATATAATATTTAAATAAATTTTGTGCAAGATAGTTAAATATGTAAATATGTTGTTGATCAATTCATTGTGTGAGTTTTAACATAAAGCCGGCATATTCAGCAAATATTTTACTGCTATTATTGGATTTTTTACTTGTTTTATTATATATAATATACCTTTAATATGAGCAAAATTGGAGAAAAGAGGACCATATCAAGAACAGTGTATAAAAATAAGAATAATATTTTTTTATAATAAAAATCAGGAAACATCTGATAAAATAAATAATGATTTCAAAGTTTAATCGTTGATATTGTATTACCTCCAACTTTTTTAAACCAGTATACACCTCATCGAATAATTCCTCTAAAGGCTTAATATAATTCTGTTGTTTTCTCTCTTTCATGATACTTTCAATTTCACTTTGCGATTTACCTTGAGCCAACAATTTATTTTGCTTGCGTTCCAAGCGTAAGATCTTTGCTTTCTTGCAAGGCACTACATTAGTAATTTCATTTCTAACATGCAGACTGCTTTTGCTGTCAGAATTTGTTATCTGTTCTTGACTGCTCCTCGATGCAGAAGTAGAGTTTACTTGAGATTTGGATTTTACTAATTTGACAGACAGTCTTCCACTAAGTTCATCATCAACAGATGAAACATTAATTTGAGACGCATTTTTTTCCGCTTTCGTCAAATATTTTGCATAATTACATACTTCCTTATTATTTATATCTAATAATAAATATTATAAAGTTGTTGTTAAACAATTTTCACAAGTGTTATTATTATTAATCCAAGATTCCCTTCTTAAAATTCTAAAGATGTTACCTATATTATCTTGTTGATCTTCACTTGTAGCGCCAACATTATCGTTTGTCAATTCGTTTCTCAAAAATTTCGTCATACGCTTTAAAATCTTTTTTTGAGATTTTGATATTCTAAAGTCTAATGCTTCACATCTAAAAATAGTTATTATTCATGAACATTTGGCTCTAAGTTATATCTCAGTCAGAATTACAATTAAGTAATATGACATTTCAAACTGAAAGGAATATCACTCACTTTATAGTATATTGTGGACAGCAGGTTAAGTTCATAGTAGGTTTGTAACAGTAACAGCCGCTTCGTCTCCATCCTCGGTCTATCAAACTCTGATAATCTTGCACTGTCAACGAATGTGCCCACATGCCTGGTAACAAACAAGAAATATAATGTGTGTCCTACGATGGATTTTTATACAAATTGCAATAAAAAAAAACATCTATTTTGAAGTGTTTTAGAGTGGCATGAAGATATCTTTGCGCTCACCGTGACTAAAGTTCGTGTCGGAACCTTCGCAATAGCCGCACTTATAGCCCTCGTGTTCTGCATAATATTCCACGATGCTGTACGATTGTTTAGCCATTTCAGCAAATTTATGGATCAATTGGGCTCCGATAACTATTGTTGCTTTGCTATTAGATTCGACAAACGTTATTAAAAGACATCATTTTTATTTTTGTCTTAAAATCCGATACTTTCGGATCGTACATAAATATTTGCGTCGTGTGATTGTCGATTAAAAAATTTAACTACTTGCTATCTATTTTTTTATCGGTTTTACCTTTCATCCGCTTGTCAAATTGTCAATTACAGCTGATGCAGTTCTGAATTGCATAATACACAAATATCTAGATAGGATATCTTTGATCCAAGAGATGCACTCCGGTTTGACGCTACATTCACTTCGAAGCGATTGATGGACCAATCAGGGCGAAGAAACTTGTAAAACATTATCAGTATATAGGAGTCGCTCGTCTACATACATATTATATCTATGCTCAGAAAGAAGGGTCACGTCGCCGTTTTTCGTAAGACACTTTTTCTAGCTGGTACAATAGCGTCAACTAGATCCATTTTAGAGCCGGCTAATTACACGGCTAGATTCATTTTTTGATGTTACGGTAAAACGGTGGTTGATGCGTGCTAAATCCATCATTGTGGATAAAAAATGTAGAGAAATATTATAGATTTATTAATGCATGTTTGATCAGCTGCACGTGATGTTTTGTTATTCTAGTATAAACTACGGATAGCGATAATAAATTATTATTAAAATATTTATATATATATACGCATATGAAATGAAATAAATTTTCTTCAATAAATTTTCTAAATAATATTTTTCCTA